GATAAGTCTATCAAGTGTTATCTTTTTATACAGTTTATTAAGAAGATTGACAAACATTTTTCCTTAGTCTGTTTTGATCATTTCACATTTCTTGTCTATATTCTTTTCTATTTACTTTCTTTGTGCTTGTTTTTAGTCTTTTTTCTTCTTTTCTTGTAGGAGCTTTTGCCATTCTTTCATATTTTCTATTCAGATGTGTGACCAATAACTTTGTAATTTTGGTAATTTTGTACCTATTTTCTTGCCTAATACTTTTAACTGTTCATTTGTCTTATTTCTTTCTTCTTTTATTACTTCTTGGTCTTTTTTTGTTTTTGCATATTTAATTAATCTTTGTAGCTTTATAATATTTTTTTCTTGTTACTGTATTTTTTGACTAGTTCTTCTATTTGCCATTGTGTTATATATTTTTTTTTGGATATATGCTTATTTGCTACAATGATAATCATTTCTTCTATTGTATTTCATATACTATTTATTTTATTTATATGTTTCTTTATATCTTGCACTTCTGTTTGAATGTTTTTTAAACTTTTTTTTATTTCTAATTACTTTTGCAATTCTTGTATAATTTTTTCAATTTTCTGGTTTTGTCCAATTATATAAATATAATGTTCTTAATTGTTCTTGTCTTTTAACTTCTGCATTGCTGTTTTTCCTACTCATATGTTTAATGCATATTTTTGCAGTTATTATTTTATGATTACTATTTGTAATTTCTTTGGTTTCTTCAATATTTGTTCTTTGCAAACCTAAGGCCAGTTTTTTTGATACCCAAATATAGTTAATTTTTGTTGCAGCTTCTTTGTTTAACCATGTGTAATTTTGGTTTGTTGGATGCATATTTCTATATATGTCTATAAAGTCTTGTTTTCTTATCCAATTAAAAATTGGTAGTCTTTTAAAATTTGCTGGTTGTATGTGTTATTTATCTAAAATATTGTCTGCTGTGTGATTAAAGTCATTCATAATCATGATTTGTGTTTGTCTTTTCCATTTAGTAACTATTTATACAATCTTCTGTTGGATGTTTTTTTTTATTATCTTGTTATTTGATAGTATATAAACTTTTATCACTACTAACTTCAATTGCTTGAAATATAACAGGATTTCAATCATGTATTCACTTATCTTCTGCTGTATTTGTCCAGTACTCTATATAGTTCTTGCTTGCTACATATGTTAGGAACCTCACTTCTCTTTCAGTAATGTTTGTTTTTATAACTTCTAATATTGCAATTTCCTCTTTTTCTGCCTAGCTAAGCAGATTTTCCAATTTTCAATCTTTGGTCTTAAGTTCATTGATATTGTGACATTCTAGCTTTATTTTTTTTTCTTTTTTCTATTTTTTTTTTAATGGTTTCTATCTTGTTCTTATACTTTTAATTTCTTTTTTTCTCTTCTGTATTCTTCTTTTTTCTAATAAGAAAATTTGATTTCTCTTTTCTTTTTGAAAACCTTTTTTTTGTTTTGCAAAATTATTTCAATTTTCCTGTCTATGTTTATTAAATCAACTATAGCATCCTTTGAAGCATTTAGAGTAATTTATCACATTCTTTATACTGTCTTCTTCTATTCTTTCTAATCTTTCTAGTATAGTATTTATCCTAAGATATTTTTGATGTGTGAGGTTTCTTCTTGTAGCTAAGATTGAGTTATTTTTTTTTTGTCTTCTTCTGCTTAATTATTAAGTTTTCTTTATAATGCTCTCTGTTTCTGTCATCATTTTTGTTCTTATTGTTTCTTTGTTTACTTTTTTTTCTTTAATTGTTTTCATATATTCCTTTATTAGAGCTTTCACTATTATAATCTGTTCTCTTGTATCATTTAGTATCACTTTTTCTTTTATTTTTTTCTTTTTTTTCAACTTAGTTTGACCAAAATAATAGGTAATTGTTGAATCTTATTGGCTTTGTTTGTGCTATACTCATTTTTTCTTCTGTTGCAAATATTATTGTTGCTGATCTTCTCTGATTTTTGTTTCTGTTGAATGAAATATATACTGATTTTGCTTTTCTTTTCTTCAAGTATCATAGTAGTAATACATCTAATGCATCATTTGAAAGTTCTAATATTTTGCTGTGAATTGGTTTTGTGAATTATATTAGTTGAAGTCTTCTTCATCTATAATTACTTTTGCCAACCTGTGTATACCAATTGGTAAGAACCATAGTATGTTTTCTTCTTTTATACTTTTCTCTAACTACAGCTAAGGCTTTATATTTAGATCTTTTAATACATTTTGCTTGAGTTTTTTTAAGACTTCTATACATGTATTTTACTTCTTTTACATTGATGTTTGCTAGTAGATCTCATATTGTTAGGTATATATATAACTCTGATTTATCTTTTGCTAAGTACACATTTATATCATCTCTTTTTTTACTTATTTTTTTATATTTTTTGGGTTTATTCTTGTCTTTTCTACTATTGTTTACCGTTTGATAACTCTGTTTTTTTTCTTGGCTTTTTGTTTCTTCTGAAATAAGCTTTAGCCAGTCTTCTTCTTTTTTTTGATTCTATTTATTGCTGTATCTTTACTGAATTTACAGTCAAAATCTATTTCAATCCAGCTGTTTTTATTTTTAAAAACCTTTTTAATTGTTTTAATGTAATAATCGTCATATAGGATCTATTGTGTATATTTTAATCTTTCTTCTTTATTTGCACCTGATATTGCTTATATTGGCATGCTTACTTTGAATGATCTGCTTTTGTCATATATATAATTTATTAAAAACCATTAATTATATTTTATTATGTCTATAAGTATTTATGTTTAATTATTTTCTTTAGTTATTAACTTTGTACTCTCTTTATCTTGATCTTTTATTTTTTTTTTTTTAATTTGTTATAGAAAATCTAATGTACTTTCTTAGTTCTTTTTAACTCTCTTCTCTTTTGTGTTATATTTATTTACATTTGCTGTTATTTCTAATTTTTTTATCTTCTCATTTAGATATTTTGCTGATTCTTCGCATAATGATGTTGGTATGCTAAGGTCTTGCATTTGGCTGATGACTACATTTAAATTTGTGTTGACTTTTTCATCACTGTTAATTTCATATTGTTGTTTCTTTTTTTTTAGCATAAACTACATCTATGTTTTTAGTATTTTCATGTTTTTCTAAACTTTTTATTTTTGTTTTCTCTTTTAGTATTTCTTCTCTCTTTATGCTTAATAAGTTGTTAAATGATTTCAGGTTTTGATTTACTGCTAACAGCTTACCTGCCTATTCTTTTATTATACTTCTTAATACTAAAAAAGTTTCTGCTCTATTTAGTGCTTCAAGTACTTGCCTATAAAGAAGTATATCACTTATTGTAATGTTTTTTTGGTCATAAATTGCAAGATTTTTGTTATATACTCTAAATTTCTTGGATTATCTATTTGCTTTGATAAAATTTTATCTAATATTCTGCTATTTATATATCTTCTATTTTTATCACCAAAACCTCTTATATGTTAAATTAATTCTGTGTCATCTGGTAGGCCTAGTCTGTATTGTACTTTTATTTCTATATTAGTTTGTTGTATATTCATCTGTTTATCTGTACATGTAAAGATTTTTACCTACTATTTCCTAATTAGTAGCTATGATTATATATGTAATATGTCTTGTTTGTTGTTATTTTGTGTTGTTAGCTGATTATGTGTTCTGACTGTTTTTTTTATGATCTAGAGTGATTTTCTGCTTTTTCAGAAAACAATAAAGAATTTTTACCAAATTTTTATGCCAAGTTAAAACTAATTAAAAACTTTGTTAAAAAGAGCTATATCTATATTAGCATATTAATAAAAAGCTTGTATTTCTTTGTACTAAAACATTTCCTTTAAGAGCTTTGCATAAGTTTATTTAACCTATTCTGTTCTATTTCTATATGTTGATTTTGTTTATTAAATTTTATCAAAAATTTGTTTTCTTGCTGTTGCTTGCTGCTGCTTTGGTTTATTTCTTGTTTCTAGTTTAGTTAACTGTATTTTTATGATCCTTTATCTTTTTCTTTAGTGCTTTAAATACTGTTTGCTTATGTGTTTCAATGTTATTTTATGTTTTTGGTTTCTATAAATTTTGGTTAAGGAATCTACAGAGAAGAGATATTAGATATATATCAAAACAATATAATATACAAATTGAATAAATAAATTAACTGCTATTTACAATTAACAATATCTGCATCAGACTTAGCTAATTTTAAATTATTGTGCAAATGATAACTTATGACTTGTTTTTCATTTTTGCTTTTTTTAAATCTTTAGTTTTCTGATATATTTTCAACTCAATTATTACAAACAACTTTATTTAAATTATTAACTTTACTTAACTTTTTATTATTACCAATAGTATTATTAAATACATTAGTAAATTTATCACTATTTTCAATTCTTGCATGCTTAAAATATGATGCAAGTTTAAAATCATTATTAACAAAAACATTTAAAACATTTGAATATGAAGTCTTAACCTTATCATTACTTTTTTGACTTTTATTAATGTTATGATATGTAGAAAGAAGTTTTGACCAAGTACTGTTAATAACTTCTAATAAACTACTTGAACTATTGTTATAAACTCTTCTCTTATAAAAAAACTAGTATCAATGAGGTTAATATATTTAGCATAGATATAAAAATCATTATAAATAACCTCCAACTGCCTAACCATAAAAACAAGTAATTTCTGTAGACAAATTGTATTCTTCAAATATGAAAATCGAGAATTAAGATGTGGAAAGATAACTTTAACCATAAAATTACAATTCTGGCTAGTATAATTATTAATTATTATGTTAAAAATAGTATTTACATCATTATTTAATTTATTTAGTGATTCTTATATAGCTCCAATAAGAGAAATTCTCAAAGAACACTTATTTAATTTGGGATCCTTATTCAACATCATCACATGAATAAAAATTAAAACAATTATCTATAATAGAAAAAAAATAACAAATAAACAAATATGTCCTATAAAATCTTTTAATTATCTAATCAATACCTTTGGTCTCTTCTTGCCTTTATAAATTTTAGGTATGATTTTATCATCAACAGAGTAATAACTATCTTTTTTAAAAATGGCTTGAGTTTTAAAATTCCTCTTATTAGGATTATTGAAAATGAATAAAACTATTTCAATTATATTATTTTCATGCTATACTAGATAAGCATCAACTGCCCATGATATAATTAGGTTACTATTTTCTTTTGCACTCAAATAAACATATTTTACTTTTGCAATAGTATCTGCATAACATGACATAATACCTTAATACACTTAAATATATATATTCTGAACTAAATATACTGATTTTATATAAATAAAAAAAGTATTTTATAATTTTTTGCCTATGCAATATATTGCTACTTATAAGATCATATATAATATTTAAATAAAATATGTTAGTTTAAGGTTAGGTTAGCATTAGACTAGAGTTACTTATGGCTTTAGAAAATAGAGTTTTTAACCTAAGATTTTACAAGAAATTTTTTTAATTAGAATGTAAGAGGTGGTTTCATATGCAAAATCTTGAGTTATAAATGATTATTTAAAAAAAGACAATGTTTTGCTTTGATTTTATATTATACCTGATCTTGTATTCTAATTGGTTGATTAGGAGTAGTGATATATTACTATTGCATTAAATTATAATTTTTATAAAAAAAATAAACCAAAAATTTTAAAACAAAATATTTCTTATCTTATATAGATTTTTGACTAAAAAAACTCACAACAAAAACTTATAAAAAATTTTATATAAACAAAATCTACTAACTAAAAAAAGTTAAAAAAATGACATCAAAATTACTACATAAAAATAAAATATTAACAAAATTAAAATGCCATAAAAAAGCTCAAATATATATCAACTTCTCTCAAAATTTCATATAATCAGATAATATATAATTGATCTTAAAAATTCTCATACAAATAATCTCTTAAAACAATTCTAAATAAAACTGTATAAAATAAAAAAATATTATCTAACATGTAAACTAAAGAAATCTATATCTTGAAATATAATTTACAAAATTATATAATAATTTATAAAAATAACACACTAATCTAATATAAACAAAAATTTTAAATTAAACAAAATCAAATTTTATATCTATTAAACTTAGTAATAAAATACAAAAATATAAGTTAATTACATATATAGACAGCATAATTATAACAAAAAAAAATAATTACAATAAATTATCTAACTAAAATTATTAATCTAATACAATAATTAAATTATCAATTTTACATAAACTTTAATTTTAACTCTAATAATAAAACAAGTTTAATATTATATTAAAAATAATAACAAATTATTATTTATATTAGAAATGGTATACAAAGTACATAGAGTATTGTTTACTAGCAACTAAAATGTTGTATGCAGTTTTTAACACATGTTCATAATCTGTGACAGATTAAGCCACTAATTTTAATTACTATCTAACTATATTCTTAGTATAAGACTTGACTGTCAAAAAATACCTGAAGTTAGAATTTAAAACCAAAGGTTGTCTTTTGATATTAACTAAATAAACATTTATATAAAAAAAAACTTTAATTTTAAAATTAAATAAATAAAAAACATAAATATTTCTCTAGTATATTATAATAACTTTAAGCAAAGCAAAGCAAACAATATTTTATTTTTTTAATTGTACTAATTGTTCAACATTTCACAGGTCGAACAAATAAATAAAAGGTGAACAATAGATAAATAACAAAAAAATCTGCTATTATTCTACCCTATATCTGCCAAATAATGGCAGTATAACAGCAGCATAACAGCAAAATAATAGTAAAATAACAGAAGATTTGTCAATA